TCATGTGTGAAACATTCTTGAAAGACACAGGTCCTCTGTTTCATCTCTTTTTATCTTTTTTTTTTTAACAGTGAGAGGGGTAATTCTTTCTTAGCAACATGTCTTAAAAGTACTGTTCCTTTTGACATGCTCCTGCAAAACCTTGACTTTAAAGGAAATCAGTCCTGGGGAAATCTCAATAATAGTCAGAAATATTTTTGTGAAAAAAAATTTGGAGTCAAATAAGTAATGTATTGTACAGAAAATTATGAAAAATAATAAAAGATGCAATGATTTGCAGCCACTAGAAAGGAGAAGTTTGGAGATTTCAAACAAGTAGATGTAAGAGGCAAATATATGGTTTTGGTGGCTCTCTGTGAGAAACCATTGGTAGGACTATCCCTGTACACATCCAGAAAATAGAATGGCCAAATCAAAAATGTAAGTTGTGGACCTGAGATGAAAATACTTCTATCAGAATGGCAGAATATTTCATGTGATGACAAATGGCATTTTCAAGTTCACTCTGGAACAGACCCAAGAAGACTGTGCTAGGCTGGAATTGTGCCCTGATACATGGAAGCTGAACTGGTCTGACCAAGGTACTGGCTGAGAGATGGAAGGCACACTTATAACAATAAAATGAAGGTCACAGAAGTACAGAATTGTTGAGGTTAGAAGTGACCTCTGGAAGCTGTCTTTTCCAACCACCCTGCTCAAGCAGGGACACCTAAAGCCAGTAGCCCAGGGTCATATCCAGATGTTTTTCTCTAAGGAAGGAGACTCCACAGCCTCTCTGGGCAATCTATTCCAGTGTTCAGTCACTCACAGTAAAAAAAGTGTTTCCTGTTGTTGAGAGGGAACCTCCTGTGTTTCAGCTGTGCCCAGTGCCTCTGGTCCTGTCACCGGGCATCACTGGAAAGTGCCTGGCTCCATCCTCTCTGCACCCTCTCTCCAGGTATCTCTGTGCAGTGATGAGATCTTCTCTGAGCTTCCTCTAGGCTGAACGGTCCCAGCGCTCTCGACCTCTCTCACAGGAGAGGTGATCCAGTCCCTTAATCACCCATGTGACCTTTCATTGAACTCTTTCCAGTATGTCCATGTCTCTTTTGTACTGGAGAGCCCAGAACTGGACACGGCACTCCAGGTGTGGCCTCACCAGTGGTAAGCAGAGGGGAAAGATCAACTCCCTCAGCCTGCTGGCAATGCTTTGTTTAATGCAGCCCCATATAACATTGACCTACACAAGAAGGGCACTTTTCTGGGTCATGTTGAACTTGTTGTCCACAAGGACCCCCAGGTCCCTTTCTACCATTCTGCTTTCCAGCTGGGCAGCCTCCAGCATATATCGTATCATGGGGTTGTTCCTCCTCAGGTGCAGTTCTTTGTTCCTGTTCAACTTGATGATGTCCCAGTCCATTTCTTCCAGCCTGTTGAGGTCCCTCTGGATGGCAGCATGACCCTCTTGGCATATCAGTCCCTCCTTCCAATTTGGTGTCATCTATAGTCTTCCTGAGGGGACATTCTGCCCCATCTTCCAGATGTTAAACAGAACCAACCCCAGTATTGATCCCTTAAGGCTTAAATTTGGTTTAGCTTTTTTTTTTACTATTAACAAGTATTCATAAACTTTCTGAGAAATAGACTGTATGTGGGTATTAGCCTTCCAGATCTGAGGTATGCATGATAAATAAAGAAAAATTTCCATGAAAAAAAGAATTTGGAGAGAGTCATATTATCTTCCTTTCCATGTTTATAAGAAAAATCTGGTAAATAAAAGCATAGCAAAGCATTAAGGTCATGAGAAGTAACTAATTAGTAAGACAATGGTCAAGCAGTACAGAAGGTGAAAGGATTCAGATATTCTGACTGAGGAGATGCTTGAGTTAGAAATAAAAAGAAGCAAAAATTCTGAAACAGACACTTATTTTACATAGGGGGCCTAAGCAGACAAAAGGGAGAACCTGACTAGCCTGCAATGTCGTAACACTGATAATGAGAACATGATGGGGTAACTGGTCTTGAAGGTATGCACTTGGAAGAAAAGATCAAATCAGAAAGATGTGGCATGTAGCAGATGTGAGAGGCTTTTACACTTTGGTTTGTTCTTTCTTCATCGTGCGTTTGGGTTAATTCATCTTAAGGTTGGATATGAAAAAAAATAATCACAATAATATTGGGAAATAATATTGAAATATATATTGAAACAAGGTGACTGACTTAAATATTAGAACACCAATATTTTCTTTTGTATATATAGAAGTCTACTTCTTGGCTAGACCTCTGATTCCTACCACAGGCAGCACAGGTCTCATTAATACAGTCAGCTGAGTGTAGAGAGTTGCATCGAGATTTATCTAAGTGGAACAGACACTGAAGTCAGTGGAATAGTTGTGTAAACAAAGAGATGTGCAGATGTTTCAGTGCAGAGTGCACTGCTGCTCCAGAAGGATGTGTCCCTTGTCACCCAGGTGTCATACCTGCCACACATGGACATCTGGGACACTCTAGGGCATCTCAGATGGTGATGGTGTTGAGCTCTTTAGGTGCTCAGCTAATGAACTGCTGCTCATCATTCATTATATTGCCCGTGACTCTTAGCAGGTGCTCAGTTCATGTATGGTCACTCAGATACAGATATCCTCACCTCAGACTGAATCCCTTCCATACAGTCAAATATAGATATACATATAAAATTTGGATGAATGATTTGGATATGATATTATTATATTGCTTCCAGAAATTGTATCATATGTGATTGCCCTAGACTAGATGGTCCTGCTCTGGCAGGGGGGTTGGACTCCATGATCTCTGGAGGTCCCTTCCAACCCCTAACATTCTGTGGTTCTGTGATTTTGTGATACTTGTAAATGAAGACTAAAACCCACCTACTAGTAATGATGAGGCACAGATCTCAGTGGATGTCATACTTAACACATTTTATCAGAAAATACTGGATGAAAAGGAGAAATGCTGTTTCAGATTTTGAAAATCTAGAATAACATTGCAGAAAAGCTAGTAAAAAATACCTGTCACATCAGGAGATTGTGAATTCATTTATTTTAAATTAAAGATTGTACATATTGGCTATCTTTTCAGTAAAGGTAGAAACAATAAAATACAGGACAGTGTCAGCAAGTGCTTGGAAGGGGAAATGACAGTAACCAAATTGTAAGAAAAACTCAGGGATCTGGACATGCCTAAACTGAGGGAAATGAGTAATCTGTACCTTAGGATTCTGAGAGAACTGGCTTGCTGCATCACTGATCTGGTAGCAAGTGGTTGTACTGGAACTGTGGGTGATGGCATTGTGTGTGCTCATTGGAGAAAAGCAAGTGTCTGATTTTTTTTAGGTTTAATCTAGAGAAAGAGAGGACTAATTGTTGCAAAAGGAGACTGACATACGGATATATTAAAAGCGGCTCATGGCAGGCAAACCTGTTGACATGCTCTGTGGTAAGACAATAGATCTGTTGTCACAACAAATAAAGTAATCTTGTTCACTGTGACCTCTGTTAAAGATACCATGGGAAGTGACTGATCTATTTAGAGAAAATCAAAATTAGTAGAATTGTTGAAGGAATAAAGAGCTGGTAAATGGAAGGTGATAGTGGTGACTAGTGAAGGAGGCTGCTGAGTGAGTACAAGCAGAGTTCTTCTAGGACAGGGTTTAGGATTAATCTTAACATTTAATGCATGACTTTGATACATAAAGCAGAACTAGATTATGATATCTTTCTCCTGGTACCAATTAGGTAATATAATAGGGATCTGGATGTTGTTTAGAAAAAGAATGACACTGAAGACTAGATCATTCAAAATGGGATTCAAGTTTAGTAGTGTGGACCAAAGGATTTAGGAAATAGTAACCAAATTCTGTTCTGAATGGAGAGCGGATCACCTGGACACAGCTGCAGAAGAGGATCTGGGTTGTTGTTTAGAAAAAGAATGACACTGAAGACTAGATCATTCAAAATGGGATTCAAGTTTAGTAGTGTGGGCCAAAGGATTTAGGAAATAGTAACCAAATTCTGTTCTGAATGGAGAGCTGATCACCTGTTGCTGATCTGGGTATTCTAGCTGATCCCTTGTTGTCTGTGAGCCATCACCACACAGCTGTTGAAAAGGAAAATACAATCCTAAAATTTCTCTATACAGATAAAGACGTATTGAGGTGGCTTCTGGAGTTCTATGTACTCTATTATCTGTTCTCCAAATGTAAGAAGGTTGAGCTCTAGCCTGGTATACAAAGGTTGCTGTGATGATTAAGTGGAAGGACAGCTTCCTGTGCAAAAGACAATTTTTACAAGTTCATCTTATTTATCCTAACAAAATGAATGTTGAAAAAAGATATTCCTGTCTTCTGCCTATAAATGCTGGGGGCAAGCCCCAGGAAGGAAGAAGAACAGTTATATCAAAAATTATTTCAATATAAGAACAAAGAGGTATAAACTGATGGTGAATAAGAAATTGGAAAAGCCATCTACTATTAGAGCCTCCCAATAAGGATGTCTCTGCGGGATGGAGTGGGTGGGTTTATGAGAGGTATCATAAGGAGCAGTGTCCTGTGTTAGAAGTGAAGGATGGGATGCTTGGGTGTGCATTCTACTTCCACTGTACAGCAAGCAGAGAACAGAAAACGGATGTGCAGGTGAGATCTGACATCTTCCTCCTACTAAAAAGGAGCCATCAGGGTAAATTTTGGCTTGAGGTAAGGAGGAATTCTGGCTAGTCACCATAAGATGACTTTGCTAATCTATCAAGGAGCAGCAGCGTGGAAAACCATTTCTATATCATTTTAACACAGTAGAAATGTGTAGTGCATGACTGATAATTGCAGCATATGCTTAATAGCTTTTGTCTCTTCAGTGTGCCAGCCAGTGTCATGTAAACAAAAAATGCACGAGAAGCAACCAGAATGACAAACATCATGATGCTTGAAGAGCTGGGACTGCAGTGACAACATCTTTATATGGAATGGAAATATTTGTAAAACATTGTTTTATTTACTGTAATTGCAGGGATCCTTAAAGGTAGTTCTTAAAGATCTTGAAGAAGAGAAGAAAAGTCTCCAGAATCAGCTAAAAGACTATGAGCTGAGACTGGAGCAAGAAGCCAAGGTTTGTCATCCCTGTGTGCCTCTAATTTATAAAAGCCATTATGTTGTCTGACAAACAGACAGTGTGTGTGGAACACACAACAGAACAGTTGCACAAAATACACCACGGGTAAATAGCTGTACTGTATATTTTTTTTCTTCCTGTATGTTTCAACTTTTAAAATATTTTGTTTTATGGTGGCCTATGTCCCTTATTTTGACTGTAGGCTTACCACAAAGCTACTGAGGAGCGGCGCATGTACCTCTCAGAGATCTTACAGGTAAGAAAAAAACAACTCAGTAATTCTTAGAAAATGTTATGCTTTCTTAATATATTTTAATGCATCAGGTCAGAGTCTTTTATCACTTCATTCATCTACCAAATCCATTACAAGAGCTGCTTTTTAAAAATTTTAAGAGCTAGAAATTGGAAGATTGATGCAATTTATTTATTTAGTTTTGTATACTTTTTTTTTTTTTTTAAATATCAGTTGGGAGTTTCCCAAGGATAGCAAAAGGGCCCTTCACTGAGAAAAATGAAGCAAATTTCTGATACTTGCTTGCCCATCCGTTACTCACAAGACTGCTGTTAGTTTAATGTTTCTGTGGAAAAGAACAGGACCAAATTATCAGCAGTAGTGACACCCACCTTAAGTAACAATTCCTCTTTTTGTATTTCTCATTTTTTCTCCTACAGACAAACCAGCCAGCCAGCCAGCTCAGAATGACAATACAGCACACATTTCAATTAGATTTATAAGATAAGGTATAAGATATCTTGTTTTGGTGAAATCAGAAGCTAAATTTTATCACTGCAAATTATGTAATATGTAAAAGTTAATACTACAAACTGGATGAACATGGAAAGGAACCTGTAAGGATTTCTAGTGCTTCTTATTCTGAAAAAGCTCTCAGTTCCTGAATAATGTAAAAGTAATAGTTTAGTGTGATACTCAGGAATGACTGTCACTGAGTCCCTGTCATAGCTAACTGGGGTGAAAGGCTGTAATTAGCAGTGTTGCCATGTGTATGCACAGTGGGCAACAGATGCTTTTATATGGTTCATTGCTACTTTGGGAAATCTGAAAGAATTGCTTAAACTGGCTTTCCAGCATGAAACCAAGAAAAATCCCAGGAGATGCCCACGCTAACTGTTAATATCTCTGCATTAACAGTGAAACTGGGAGATGCCTGGGGAAGAAAGTAGGAGATAAAGATGATTTTATTACTGAACATGCTAGGAAGAGGAATGCCTATGTTCAGCTGCCTAGAACAGCACTTAACCACACACAGAATAGTATTTGAAGTGAGATACATGCACTGGCATGTTCCTTAAATGTTAGGGACTGGGATTTTGCCACCGATGCTCAAGGTAGTTATATTTTCAGTAATCAGTTATTTGCTCCCGTGATTCCAGAACCTTATGAGAGCAAAATAATGATCTTCAGATTAATCCCCCTGTCTTTATCCCTCTGAATGTTAAACAGTTAAACAACCGTTAAAGTAGTTTTAGAGCGATCCTCTGTAATCTGTGCAGAGATAAGCACGTTTGAGGTGCAAACCATCATACCTGTTTTAGATCAGGAGGAAATGAATTTCCCAGGGACTTTTCTGTCCCTCTTCCTGAGCTACAAGCAGAGCCTAGGTGAGCAGTTTAGATCAGACCTCTACATTTTCCATTGCTAATCTGAACATGGCAGTTAACCTAATCATGGGTGACTGTTGGTTTCAAAAGAGTCAGTGGCTCATCTGGTCCCTTCAGGTGCTTTTATATTATCTTAAAATCTGCATATATATGCCCTCCCTTGTAACAGCTGATTTGAACAAAGAAATAAATTTACATTCAGATCAGACTCTTTTGGCTGTATTAAAATGTCACCCTTCCAGAGTCTGCACAGCAATGTTTGCAGCAGTTGAGTTAGAAGGATGCACCCACAGGCCAGCATTTTCCATATATTCCAATGTAAATATACTACAGGATATTGTCATCATGCAACAACAGAATATTCCAGTGACGTTCTCTTAGTTACAGAGAATGCACATGATGTCTTTTTGGGCCTTTTTCTCCTCATGATGTTTGTGCTTCTCTATAGCTCACAGTCTTAAATTAAAATAGTCGTAGAATGGAAGTTTGTACTGGTAGGTGGTAAAAAATCCCAGATGTTTTGGGGCTTTTTCACTTTGTTTTGGATCACTCCTGAAGCCTGTGGCAGAAGCAGAAGAGAGATGCTTCTGAGAAGCCATTTCTTTTATTTACCTTTTTTATTATTAAGTGCTTCTCTGTTTTTTACAAACTATATTTAATATAGTTTGTAAAATCTTCTGAGTGCCTTTGTTTGTTTTGTCTGGACCCATATGGGTATAGTCAATGTTAAATTACAATTTTTAAATAAATTAAAGATTTCACAGACTTGGAGAAGCCATTTCTTTTATTTACCTTTTTTATTATTAAGTGCTTCTCTGTTTTTTACAAACTATATGTATCTTCTGAGTGCTTTTGTTTGTCTTATCTGGACCCATAAGGGTATAGTCAATGTTAAATTATAATTTTTAAATAAATTAAAGATTTGACAGACTTGAGAATTCATGCTAGATAGTTTATGGAGTATTCTTATTTGCTTTTTTTGTTTTGTTTTCAATCTGAAAAAAATGTTGGTTTGGGATTTGGACTCCACAACTCTTGAAGCACTTTCCTGTGGTATTCAGAAATCAGCTTGAGAAGCAGGCAGAGAAGAACAACAGCAGATCTTTAAAAGGGTCATTCTTTTTTCATTTCAGATTTTAATCACAAACTTTTATTAGCACAGTAGAGTCTGACATGTGATTGGGATTTCCTTGCAGAAAAAGCCCACAGTTCTAGATAGGTACAGCTGGAAGGCTGCTTGTGCAACAACAGCTCATTTTAGTTGGGGTGGGCCTGGAGTAAACTGTATCAGCAAAAGCAGTGCTATGGATGATAGTCATATATGCTGGCACTCTAGATTGATATACATTTATAAAACAGTGAAGGTAATGATAGAATAAATCCTGTCTTGTGTTACAGAATCATATCTGCTCAGAAAGTAAGTTGCACTAGCTGTCATCTGTAGCACTAGGGTTAGTTGGGTGCAAAAAATTTAGACAATGTCAATCTGTGCAGATCTTATTCCATTTTTACACTTGCACTGTGAGAGGAATGTGCTCTGGTTATAGCTGGCATTGCTCTGGCTGGGTCAGGGATACTTGCCTCGTGGAAGCACTGCAGAAAACATTGTCTGCTGAGCAGTGAGGAGTGATTCTTCTCTGTGCCACGTTTGTTTTTCACACAAGTGCAAGGGGTTTTTGCACTTGCAAATGTAATGTAATGTAATGTAGCAATCCAAACCCTGAGCCTTGTTTAGGTAGCCCCAAAATGTAGCTCTAGGCTTTCAAAAAGTCTTCACTGGTCTGGTGTAGCCAGTGCTCTGTATATCATGATTATCATAGATTTGTTACGACCTGGTGGATCTGTTTGGAGGGGCTGAGAACATTCCACTCACTTACACTGGACAACCCAGTGTGCTCAGCAGCCAGACGAGCCCTGAACTGTCTGCATTTTTGGCTGTCCATCCATGGAATAGCTGTCCAGCTGAGAGGTAGTTCTAGTGAAGACAGCTGGATGAGCCAGCAAGTGCTGGGTGAGGGGAACCCCGTGAGCTAAGGAACAGAAGAACCAACTGATTTAATCCTGCCCAGGGTCTGTTAAATGCAACACCATGGGTAACAAACACTTTGGGTTTATTTATTTTTTTCAGTATGTCCAGCAGTGTAGACTTCCATTGTATGCAGAGACTTCCATGCTGTGTTATTTTTTTGTCTAAGTTTTTCCTGTTCTTAATAGATGGTTTAATCATTCAAAAGGTCAACTGAGTGACTGTAATTTGTTTAGTTTCTCATTCAGGGAAGTATGTTAGAAATATAATGCTTCTTCATTGGAAATGTGGAATTACAGGCAGTATGACCAAAAAAATGCCAATTGAAATTACATATTCTCTGATTGTCCAGCTTAAGGAATGGTATTTTTGTACAGTAAGGGGTTTTGGCATGTTTTCAACTCCCCAGATCAACAAGGAATCAGTATAATATAGGCTTAAAGTATTTTATGGCAGTAAGACTGTAGTGGGTCAAAATTAGTTTGGAAATATTTTACTTCCTTAACTGTCACTGTGAATAGATTTTAACTTGTTTTGTAAAAATTTGGCTGTTGCAGACCTCAGCTGCACTTAAAATTGTCGAAAGGCAGAAAAGGGATGGTCTGACAGGCAAGGGAGAAAACCAGATACTGAGGTAAATTTCCTTTATGTTCCCTCTGATTTATGGTTTATTGGTTTTTGCTAAGTAATAAGCTTTGAATATTGTAACTTCTGTTCATGGTAAATACCACTGAGCATAATCCTACTGACAAAGCATTAATCTTAATATAATTTTTGATATTGCTTTTCAATCATTTTTATTTAAAATTAAGTATGTTGCAATATTGAAAATACATTTATTTAAGTGGCCTTTTTGTAACCTTACAATAACTTGGATGTTCTTATTTTTCAACCTTTATTTGAAATGATTCATTTTTTTCCTACATCAAGCAGAGCTGGGAACAAGAAGTACACCCCTTAATCCATTAATTCAATTGAATAAATGTCTTGCTTGGTCCTTTTTAGCCAATAGAGATTGTAAAGCTTCTTCTGGATGATAGTGTGAGAGATTTTAGATGACAACATATAAAGGCTTCATTGTTTAACAGCTTTATTTAGTTATATGGGTTAGAAATTGAAATTTGAAAAGAACCCACCTGCTCTGAGCTCTATAAAAATAAAATTAATTTCCAGTTTTAGTGCTTATGATAAAGCTTGAAATTGGAGGAGATTTATTTTTTAATGGAACTGCAAATGTTAAGAATACGAAGTACAAAGAATATGAGGAATCACATCCAAAGTGTGTTGCATTCAGCATCCTGCCCCCAGTGGCCACGGGGAGATGCCTGCAACAGTGTGTAAGCAGGCAGATACAATATTTGCTTTTGGAACTCTCCCAAATACTTTCTATTTGGAGGCTTCCTGAGCTAGTATGGTTTATGTGTGTTTAATATCTCACTATAAATCCTCTTCTGTAAACCCACTTACCTACATTATTAAAACAAGCACACACAATACATATTGGGAACATCTAAAAATGTAATGAGTAAATTATAAGCATGAAATTGCTTAGACATGTTTGCTTACCAGCTTCATCCTTTCATTCTGTTTAAGCATAGAATCACAGGAGTTCATAAATCAGAACAGTGGATCTTCATGCTCCAGGAGAGGGTATTAGTAGAATATGAATTAATGGAGTAGACTATGAATTGGAGTCTATAACTGAAGTTTCTCAATACAGGAAAAGCACTGTGTGGGGCTGAGGTACCCCATATGTGGCCATATAGAGAGTGTTGCTTCTGGCCCCAGTGATGTTTGACATAGCTCTTGTAGAGGTCAGGAAGCTACAACTAGGAGAATTCACTGTCTCTGCTGGGAGATTGAGTATCAGCCACATATTCAGATTTGCTGAGGGTTAGCACTGATCTGTGATTATATTGTTTGGTTTTTTTTTCATAATTTATTTTAGTAGACCATTACTTAGTCTGAAATTCTATGACAGTTTCCATATTTTCTTTATATCAAACAGAAGAAAATAAAGTATAAAAGAAAATAAAGTGTCCTGTAATTGCTGCTCTCAGAAGATGCATCCTGTAACAAAATATCCCCTTTCAAACCATTTTCCCTCAGAGGACTTTTTTCTTTTAAACTTCTCAAAGTACTTTGCACACATGAAGGGAATTATTCATCTTTTAAATTGTCCATAGTAGCAAAGAAACCAGTCTGCAAAACATTGGCTTTTATAAACAGTGATTTAGGACTTTCAGGTCAAACTTCGATCTTGGTTGGCAACATGGAAATAAGAAGGGGGATTTGGCATAGTTGAATTTTACAAAAATACTAGAATGTAAATAAACACCCCTTGATCATCACAAGATTAACACAGCCATCGTTATATTATTCCTTTTTAATTATGTTTTTATTTACAGCCTGAATGCTGTTTGTTCAAGATGACAATAATGAGAAATAATTTCATTCAAATAAGAGAAGATCTCATGATTCAAAATAAATGTATTCTTGAGAATAATTTGAAAATTTGCTGTCCAGAATTCGTTTCTCACTTCCGTTAGTCTTTCAGAACACACCTGCCTTCATTGGATTTCAAACCAGAACTGTGCTCAGTGTTTGTTTTAACTACAGGTACAGGCATGGAAAACCCAACCTGAAGAGTAAAGCAACAAGGAACATTGTTTTAGTAGTAACTGTGAACCCTAATTGTTGATGCATTCAGTTTCTTGGCCATCCAAACATAGAAGCCAAGTTCAGTAGAGGTTCTTTCTGTGGTAATTCACAGGACAAGAAGAAGGTAGGCTAGCTGACAGCTGAGGAAAACAGGGATCTCTTGATGAGTCCTGACCCTGATGCAACCTGAGCAGGCAATTTAATGTCATTCTGAGCCCTTACTGTTATGCTGGGGCATAAAGCAAGGCTTATTAGCTCAGTTCCAACACTGCAGCTACCTGGCTTCTAAATCCTTTGCCACCTGCAGAATTCCACACAGACATAGGCTGGCTGCTGGGTCCAGCTCTACACTGATCTACAGATTAATCAATTGATTTTGAGTAATCAGCTGATTTGAATAATCAGTTATTATTGAGCAAACTGTAGCCTTGGGTTCTGATCTTCCAAGCTCTGTGTAGAAGTAGCTCCATATCTCTGTGGGGGCAGCTCTGCCTTCAAGACCATGACCCCTTGTAAGAGCTAGAGCAGAGGATATGTCAGTCTCAAGACTAGTGAGCCCTCGGGACAGCTCTGTTTGCTGTTTGCCCAGGAATTTGAAACTTGCACATCACAGCTTTACCACATAACAAAGTATTTCTCTGGCTGTCATCGTGTGACAATGATGTGATGCTGTGATGTATTTTCCTGCAGAGTGCCTTGCTTGAGGAAGACACTGAAAGCCTGTATGTTGTCATCAGAGTATGGAAAGTGCTGTCTGTGCAGTGCAGTAATGAACAGGGGGAGATACAAAAGTACATCCCATAGGAGTAGAGATGTGTGCTGCTTGATTATCAGCATGACCCTTCCAGTTTGTGGAATCACCTTTCCCCTGGAGATTTGTTTACATTCCCACTGATTTGTCTTAGAAGATCAAGATGAGAAAAGCCCTAGTAGGTGTCACATAGATGGTGCATGTATCCATGATGAAAACCACTTCAGAAGTCTGCTGGCAGCATTTCCTATGTGAGATCACAAGCTCAAGAGCATGGGTCTCCAGAGTGGAATCCCTGCAGAGACTGCAGCTACATCTACATGAAGTGCTCTTTCATTTCCTGCTGGGGATTGTGCAATTTATGAAAATGTCACCTTAGCCAGTGATGATTCTCTTTGTGCAAATGTTTAGTATTCTGATCATGTTCTTCAAATGCCATCGTTCAGGTAACAGGAGGTAGTCAGGAATCACGAGAGGAGGATTGAGTTTGCATGCAGAATAATTAGATGCTCTGCTAGCCTGCAAACCCAGAAATATCCTTGTTTTTTCCTCTCTCACGTTTATTCATTCAGAATAGTAATCAGTTATGCAAATATAAAAAGCATGTAAATTTCTGGCAGTTAAAGCTTAGAAGGAATGTGACACTTGATGACTAACTTCACCCATTTAATTTCAGAGGGAGATACCATGTTCCAGGAGACCTGAAGATGGTGAGTCCTCAAAAAGGACCAGTTAAGAAGACTGTAGGAGTGAAGCAGCTTCCAAAATTGAAACACTGATTTAATATTAATGCCAAGAACTTCCAATCACTTTTTAAAAAATTTAATTGAAAGCTTTTAAATTGAAAATGAATGTATTTGTGCCTTACTATGATACCAAATCCAGATTGGCATGTCTTCTGGCAGTCTTTATGTAAGTCTTCCTCTGCCTAACAGAATTGTTCTGTTAGCTGCAATCTTTGTTCTGATGATCTCTGTCATCTCCCACTCTGATTTGTATCAGTGATTCTGGTAAGGGGTCAGGGAGCAGGAAGCCTTGGAGAACATTTAATGTCTTTATACACTAGGCACATCCTTGAACTCTGACTGCACCACAAACATTCAAAACAAAAAAGCCTTTGATAGTTTGGACCTCTCAACCAAGAACAAAAAGGCAGATTGATGCAATCTGAAGTATTCTCTCACCACCCAAACCAGTGAATCTCAGATAAAATTTCATCCAAGGTATCCCCATTGAGTATAGGCAGCAAAGAGAGACTCTGGTGTAGCCTGGTGTTGGTACAGCTGAACATAGCCTCTTAAAAAAGACCAACAGCATAGTTTTGTAGGCAGTCAGATTTCTCACATGACACCATACAGCAGAGTCCCTTTACAGTAGGCAGTTGCTTTATATTCCTTGAGCTTTTCACTCTAGCAGAGAAGACAACACACCTCCAAATCTAACCATTTTAAAAACTGGCTTGCCACAGATCCTGTGTTGACCACCACTTTCTGTTTTCATGGTTTAGAAGCACAGCACCATTTCCAGCTGCTTTAGGCACTAGTAATGGGCAGAAAGGAAAGAAAAATTGAGCACTTTTTATTGAGGGTTCTTCAGAGCATGTCTCATGGAGAGGTTGTTTCTTTTAAATACTATATACACATTATGTTTGCTGATATTGATATGCTGGTGTGTAAATTTGACCTGGCAGGTGAACCTCTGTACCCACAGTCTGTGTTCCATTCTCTGTGAATTCTTCAGTGGCACTGACCCTTGTGTTTGTAGGGCCCAAAACAGTGCCAGTCTTTAAAGTCACCTCTTCAATGAAAGTAGAACTACTTTGTATTTTCATTCTTAAGCATGCAATTATTGTTGCACTTTCATTACATATTTTTTAGTCATTAAGCTTCAGCAGAATTTAAGTGGCAACAGGAAAAATATTTTGATAGTGAAGCATCAAGCCTCTGGGTTACATCTTAAAAGCTCTTCACAGAGCAAATGTGATTGATTGACTGCCCTTTATTAATTTTAAGAGCATGCCTAGCTTTTTACAGTATCTAATAAAGCTTTTTGCCTCTTTAAGAGCAGTTCTAATAGTTCCTTATTACTGGCAGCATTAAAGTGAGGCAGTAAATAAACTCATACAGAGTGACCAATGATGTAATTCTAAAATGCAGTGAAAGAAGACCTGCAGTATTGTACAGCATATTCAGTATGGAAATCCCATTTTTCTCTCATAAATAGTACAAGTTTTTTTGCAGATATTTCTGTTACCATGATGCACCTGGCATCATTCTTTCCTAAGCAGGGTGGTCTGCCTGGCCAATTTTTTCCTCCCAGTCACAGTTGAAAGCATAGCACAGCTGATTAGGTTAGCACTCTTCTGTTCCTGTGTTTCACATGGAAAATTTCCAAATTTTGATTGTGCTGGCATTCGTCATTGTGAAGAAGGAGAGAGAAAAAACCACCATAATGGTCCTATTGGCACAAAAGACAAGAGACATCTGCAGTAGTGAAGAATCTCCCCTTCCTGGATTCATGCAGCAGACGTTGCTGCTGTCTCTGAATCACATGTTGGTGAATGTGCCCAAGTCTGGTCCCTGTAGCACCTCAAAATAACTGGAAACATTGCACAAATGTGGCAGAACAACATTTATTCACAGCAGGAGACTTGCACACTTCCCTCATGGTTGGTCCTTGCTGAGGACTTAAAAAGAGACTTTTTTTTTTTATAAGCCTGAGAAGATAGATTTAATGGTATATTTTGATACATAATGACCCGAGGAGAAGAACAGACTAAGTCCTTCCTAGTCCTTGTTTCAGCTTGCCAGGAAAAGTCTTGGGATTTGAAACACAACAGTATAACAATTAAGCTCTAAAACATGTGTTTGACCATTCTAATTGTGTGTCCAGCTCTAATGTTTCCTAAGCAAAATGGTTACAGTTCTGTACTCCTACTCTTTAAATTACTGAGCATTTCATTTTTGTCCTGCCTTTCTGAAAATAAGGGCACCATAACAATGAAGTTTGATGACTCAAGTTTCTTTGCAACAGCAAAAAGATAGTTTTGGGTTTCAAAAGAGGCGTGGTATTTCTTTGGACATGAGTAAAACTTTTATACTGCTAACTTTCCCAAACCATGTTGCAATTTTATGTTTGGTTTGGTGGTTTTGGATGGATGGCTGTTTTCGAAATTCCTGGATTTATCTTGTGTGGACTTTCCTTACTACCATTAGTGTGTGCTGTGAAATGGGGTCTGTTCACATTTGCAGCAATGAATAGTTAGATGTCTTTACACAATATCTTCTATATGAATATTTCAGCACATTAAGCCTTCAAAGCACAGTATGAACTCTTATCATCATTTTAGGCATAGAAGATTGAATCAGAGTCTTTTATTTAAAAGTGTAGTGACATCTGTCTTTTCCCTGGTTTCATGACAAGGTGATCTTCTGTAATGTTGCTTACCATTGCATGACAAATTCTATCTCCTCTGCAGTCTCTGTGCATCATATTCTATCATATTTCAGTATGAGGGTGATAGGTCACTGGAATAGGTCACCCAGAGAGGTGGTGGAGGCCCCATCCCTGGGGACATTCAAGATCAGGCTGGATGAAGCTCTGAGCAGCTTGATCTAGTTTGAGATGTCCCTGCTTATGGTGGAGGGGTTGGACTAGATGGCCTTTGAAGGTCCCTTCCAGCCCAGACATTCTATGATTCTATGATATTCTAAGCAATGGACAAATCAGAAAACAAAAATGGGAAATCGAATTGGTGACAGTTGTGGTCAGTGAGGGAATGGAGTTAAATGTCAGAGGAAGATGGGATTAGAGCTGAAGGTTTGAATCTGGCCAAACTTCCTCCTGCAGCACAGGATGTAATGGGGATTCCAGGTGTACTGGTTGTAGTGTGTAAGTGCCTTTAATTGATGGGCCAAGAAATTCGACAGCCTAACTCTTGGGACTTGAGAGCATGCTTCCCTTATGTAACTCCACCGAGTGCAGGTGAGTCCTGCCTTTGAGGTAACGATGGCATTTTAAGTATTTACCAGTATTGTTGCTTGAAAATAGGAATTAAAATACTCCAGTGCTTGTAAACAAACATTTCTTATTTCTCAAAATAATTATTTTTTTTTTAAGTCTCATGACTTACACGTTATTGAGCTGTGATTTTTCTTTTTAATAAATCAATGTAGCACCACTGTATTCCTCTATAGCAGAATAAAATTAAAAAGTTTACTGGCTAGGCATTGACTGTGTGGTTGATTATTATGTAATTATGCAGCATAACCACAGACTCCAGAGAACTTGGGCAACGAGCTTCTTTATATTCAGGATATTATTAACAATAAACAAGACACTTCATTGCTTAAATACTTTGTTTAATGGGTTCTCCATATAAATGACTGACATGGTGGTGCAGTTCACAGCCTCCCTGATTCCCATGATATTCCACCTCCACTGGTGAAGATAAGATGCATAATTCAGCTTTAATACATTTCCAGTAGCAGAAGATGTTGCGCAGGCGGTTTTAGAAATGGGATGAAGACACAGTAGCAACAAATAAATAAACAGATGAAGCTCTGTGTTATTAAGCTTCTGCTGTTGCTGCCAGACTAGTGTCAAACATGGACAGTAATTTGAACTAACTCTGGCTGGAAGCAGAACTAAAGTTCGTGGATGAAAATCACAGCTCATGGCAACAGTTTTACCTCTGCATACAGGTGTCATGCTACTGGCAGACAGCTCTAGGCTGGACAGTGAAGCTCTGCAGAGGTGGCACTGTGTCCTTTAACTTGGCAGATCAGTTTAACCCTTTCTTCCAAAGATACAAAACATTGTGTGTAGTTCCTTGTAGGCTACAGCTCGGAATCTCCTTTCACTAGCTTGTGCCATAAACTAGTGACTAAGAAGCACAGGAAGCCCCCATATCTCACATCTACAGGAAGAGCATGCAGGTGGAACCAGGCTTTCCATGGGGTTCTGTGTGGAAATGATGCCCAGCTCCACAGAAAGGGCCCACTCCCTGCTGTCCTTGCAGCCAGAACCATCAGCAGCTGAGCTATTGGAATGGGTTCAACCTCTGAAGTTATGCTGGGTGCTGCCTGTCACACGGGTGGCTTCCACCACAGGCCTGTCCTCCATAAGTCATGCTCTGTGTAGCTGGCAGCATCCTCTTCAAAAGACTGCAAGTTTTCTCAAGAAGGAGCATCACGGTGTGTTTGGTGTCCTCTGGCTGGCAGAACAGGTAACAGCTAGCTGGCATAGCTGTGCCCTGGCCACTATTTTATAGAAATTTCCTGTGGTGCTTGTGATGCTCTTTACCATGTTCTCAGGCATCCTTTCTGCAATCAGAGATGTTGGCACGTCCCCTGATAGCCATGGGAAGAGACATATACCTGGTGGTGGTAACACAGTGACAGGAGTTGCAGCCTGTCCACCCACAGTGTAGAGCTGAGGTCTGAGAAGGCCAGCAGTCTGCTCCCCACTCTGAGCATCTCCAGCTCTGCCTCTAGAAAGACAGATTATTTGAGGGGACCAACCCCAGCTGAAGTTCCTTTGCCCATTACACCCATGGACAAGAGGGCTGAGAACACAGTACTGACTTGGTGCAGATCCTTCAGTCCACTTTGCTAGGAGAGGCTAATCAGCTGCTTGTGCTTGTGCCCGGGGTACTTGGGCAGTTCCCAAGTTAGAGCTGAGTTTCCAGCAATAGTAGACAATGCAGTTTCTTCACATTTTGCAGCTGGGAGAGCTCTGTTGTCACAGCCTAGCCCGTGTTTGAGGATTGCCACTACTC